GCATGAGACGCTGAGAACGAGTCAAACCAGACGAGCTCAGCTGCACCTGAAACTCATCTTATTGTGTTTTTGTCCATTTCGTGAAACTTGATCCTTTTTCCCTCCAGCAGCTCCTGATTTTAAGAAAAGTGCCTCATTTACACAAAGATCGTTCCTAAAGCAGAAGAGAAAGCTTCGCCTGAGTTAGTCTGGAGTGTAAAGATGAACACTGGTAAGAGCTTTTCTGGATGTTTTCTAACAGGAAAAACTTGTTTTTCATGCTCGTTAACCTTTAATGCTTTACGAGTGCATGCCTGCTGTGGTGACAGGCGCTCCTGGGAATGCACTTTTTTAACAAAAGAAGAAAAAGAGACGAGACTTTCCCGGTGTGGTTACAGAACATGAAGGACGGCCACACCTTTGTGATGTTTGGCTCTTTTGCTGGCCTCAGCGGTGAGCGTCAGGGCCAGCAGCAGCAGCAGCGTCACTGAGAACAAACTTCGCATTCTGCAAAGATAAAAACACACTCACACATTATTCATCACAACACAACGTCGGTCAAACACAAGCAGTGAGGAAGAGGTGGACACCCTGCAGCCAGAGGCCTGGACGCGCTGCCACAAACAACCACACCTTCCATTAGTTTCTGATGTTTGCAGCCGATCGGGTGAGAGCCACGCGGCGAGACAGAGACGCAGGAAGGCTACGAGAGAAGCACGAGAGCAACAAATCACAGAGACACGAATCCACAGCCAAAATACAAAAGCTGGAAAAGCAGGACTTCTGTCTGTGCTGAAACACAGGAATGTGGAGTTGTGTGTGTGCTGATCCGCAGCCTGGACGCGGGTCGTGGAGCCAGATGGTTCAAACATTCAGTCCAAACCGAATCGTTTCACCTCCTCCCGTATCAGCGCCTCAGCCCAGTAATCTGACTATTGTAGTGAGAGCAGCAGTGGGATTATGAAAGTGGGCTAATGTATGCAGAAGCTGCTGTCAGCGCGCACACACACACACACACACACACACACAC